TATATATATATATATATATATATATAACTATATTAAAAAGACTGTATTTCACCACTTTTTTGTAACTATCAATTTTTTTTTTTTTTTAAATAAATGCTTCAGACACTGACAAAGAAAATGCGTATTTTAGTTCTCCAGTGTTTTTCCTATTAAGTGGTAATTATGTTTAAATTGTCTAATTTTAACCAGTCTGTGCCATTTTTAACTCTGACCATGCATTTGTTTTAACAACAATGAACGAAGCTTGTACTAATGATATGGTAATGTCCTGTATCTCATTTCATCAACCCTCATCTCACTCGTGCTGTGCTCTAAGACATGCTTGCATAAACTGCATTAATTATAAGAGAACTAGCCATGAGTTGTATTTGCTAACTTGCACATGAGGTGGAATGGAAGCAGCATCAGGTTTGACTTTCTGATTGGGTAGCAATGATGGCCATGCCAGTACCATGCTAATTGTTGTGGCTTATAGCGCTAAACAAACTGTAAGAACATTGGAACCCTTTCATTTCTTCTCAGCAATAATTGCTTGTTACAAAATAACTGTAAACAAACACTTTGCAAGTAAAGGAAAAATCAGTAGAAAAAATAGTGTATTTGCCAATTTATAAAACTGAATGGCTTCCATGTGTATTTTTAGAGGAACTCTCCTTGCAACTCATCCAAACCATATCTATTGTTTTTCAGTTTTGGTAAATGTATGCCAGTGAATATGATAAATGTAGATTGTAATGATATTAAGTCATTCCTATTTTCAGTTGGGCACAAGATTTTTACATAGGAAAAGGTTAAAATGAAACAAATATACCAATTTGATATAGGAAAGTAATGATAACAGTAACATTAGCCATTTCCCTACAAGGAAACATTTGGCATTCATTGACCAAGCAGCCAGTTCTGCATTTGGTTGAAATTTATAAATCCTTTCTTAAAACAACTTTTCAAGAAAACAGATTTCTCAACTCCATTAACACTCTTTCCAGCATTAATGGGGGTTTCCTACCTAAACTTTTATTTGAAATAGTTTGCAACATCAACATCTTGACTATATTATTATTTTCTCTTTGAGTTATATATGTTATCCTTTTTAGCTGTTGTTGCTGTTGCAAGTCCTCAAGTGATATGTTTTTTTTTTTGTTATCTAGTACAATTCTTTGTGATTCTGTAGTGCCAATCTATAATAAGGAAACATTCGAAATTCATTCACTGAGCAGCAAAAGCTACTCTCAGTTTGAATTTATAAAATCTTTCCCTTAAACAACACTCCTTCAACACTCTACCAGATAGCCTGGTTCATAGCCTTAAATAGTCTATGATTAAGGACTTCAACAGTTGATTAATAAGTCGATACTGAACTGATTAATGTTTGGACTGATCTTACTTCGTTTTGTTATATAGCATTTGAACCTCCACTATTCCTTGTAAGTTGTCTTGTTAATTGTTTTGTAACTTATTGTTCTATGATTTTTGTACGTATCCATTAGCACCAGATACTGGTGCTGAATAAATATATTAAGCACTCATTCTTCTCTGTGTATCATTGAGGTGAATGATACAACACATGGAAACAGGTTTCTCAAGTCTAGAAACTGCTATCACTCTTTCCAGTATTAATGGGGGTTTCTTACCTAAACTTTTATTTGAAGTTGTGTATAACATCAACATCTTGATTATATCATTATTTTCTTTTCGAGTTACATTTGTTATCCATTTTAATTGTTGCTGCTGTTGGGCATAGTCTTCAAGTGATATGGTTTCTGCTGTCTATTACAGTTCTTTGTTTGGGAATTTGTAGTGCCAGTTCACAATGTTCAAAGAGAGATGATCTTTGACAAGGTCCACAGGTTTCACTCGATCAAAGTCTTTTTTAACCACTGATCTTAAGAAGCGGTTGTATACAGCTGACAGTTTAGATATTTCTGAATGGATTTGGTGCCAAGCATGTCATCCGTATGAAAGTCTCAATATGGCTATTTAAGAAAACGTTATGGTAAGAAAAATTTTAAAAAATGACAAACTATCCAAAGAATGAATACTTATAATTCAAAATATAATTTAGTCTACATCCAGTAGCAAAGCCTCTGATTGGGAGATTGGAGGATTTGAAAAGCATGGAACCACCTCTTACTTGCTATTGTTCCTAGGTCCACCTTGACCCAGGGTGGTAGCACCTGTTAGGGTATTAGCCATGGGCAAATAGTGAACCCCCATCCCCAAAGGAAACCCACTATGAAAGTATACAAATAGATTTTTATAGTAAAATTACCAACAATACCTATTTATAGCCAAACTACCAATGATACATTTTTAAAGCAAAATGACCAGCAATAGATCTTATAGTAGAATTAGCAACAATATATTTTATCTGTTGTTGAAGGCATGCAAATGGTTCTCCACAACTTCCTGCTCTTTGTAGCTTTATCTTTTTGCTATCTCTCCTAATCCCTGCTCTGCTAGCCATTTCCACTAGCTTGTTAGGTAGGTTATTCACTGTTTTCTTTTGTTCGTCTTGCCTTCAACATGTCCTGTCAGTGTCAAAATTTTCTAAGCCCTCTTTCAACATTATGTGCCCTGGAAACTTCAATTTTCTCTTTCTGATTCTAAGGACAATTTTCTTTTATGTTTCCATTTTCATTAAACCTTTTCACATTTTCAGTAGATAGTATTTTTAGCATCTTTCTGCTGAATCACTTTTCTGTTGCTCAAGTCTCTTCTTCATCTGTGATGGACTGTTCAACAATGACTGCCATATTGGAGGACCAATATTAGATAGCAGTCCAGTACTTCTTTCTTTCTTTGTTTCAAATTAAATTTTCCTGTTTATACTTTGCTTGACTTTTAAAGGCATCTTTCTTTATTCCAATGCAAATTAGTCCTCGGTTAGAACACTTTATAGATATTTACATTTGTGTACATGCTTGATTTTGGTGTCTCCAATTCATAGTTCACACACACACACAGAGAATTTTATATACAAGCCATATTTACCAGCATATAGGAAAAATAGGCTATTAGTACATATAGAACACACAGGCTTTTTAGTAGACTACCACACACTGAAAGTCGACAATGCTTTTTAGTTGTCTGTTTCTAGCCTTGGTTGATGACTCCTAAGTTTTAAACTATTGTACTAGATGCAGTATAATATTTACCTCATTTATTATGGGTATTATAATTATTAGGATTTAAATTTTCATAATGTATATTGGCATATACTGTGAAATGCTTTGATTAGAGAAAGGGTCAGAAAGAAGACCCAATTTATAAACACTGGAGAAAGGAAAAAATATCTTTTTAAAATGAAAACTTTTTATCATAAATCTACTAAACACTTTCATTTTTACTCTTTTTAGTGTGAGTAAATGCAGTTAATACTAATCAAGATTTACATTATTTACAATTCAAACTATTGTCCTCATCTTTGTTGTTGTTATCACAATGTTTCAGCCATTGTACCCTCTGGCCTCATTCAGGTGCTTGTCAATTCAGGTAACCTTCAGTGAACTTCAAACTGAACCTTTTATTTAATCTATGGGGTTAGATTATTCTTGTTCCTCTACTCAGGTTTTGGGATATTTTGTCTATTTCTGATTTAATACTATTCGGTTATTGCTTGTCCTGTGTCCAAGTATATACAGCTCAAACCAGAAAAATGGAGGAAAGAACTAATTTCTAATTACAGAAAATAGCAATATTGAGAAGGAGAAAAATCTTGATCACGTCTCTTAATTCCTAATTATTTAAATAAAGTAAAACAAATCCAGTAAATTGAGTTTTTATTAATAAATGTAGTTAATTGTTATATCAATTGGTAGTTACCTGATTTGTATATAAGTGTGTTATGTTTATTGCACAGATGATATATACAGAATATTTTACCCAGTACAATTTCAAGCCTTGTTTCTTGTTAATTTAGATCTTTTTCATTCTCAATTATAGATTGATAGAAATCCATTGAGAATGTTGCCAAAATTTGCAGTTGCCAAAATATGTTACCAAAGTTTGCAGTTGTCAAAATATGCTACCAAAGTTTGCAGTTGTCGAAATATGCTGCCAAAGTTTGCAGTTGTCGAAATATGTTGTCAAAATATGTTGCCAAAATTTGCAGTTGTCAAAATATGCTGCCAAAGTTTGCAGTTGTCAAAATATGCTGCCAATGTTTGCAGTTGTCAAAATATGCTGCCAATGTTTGCAGTTGTCACAAAATGCTGTTAGAATTTGCTTTTTTCAAAAATATTGCTAAAATTTGCATTTGTTAAATATTTCAAATTTTCATTTTACACTATATTAGATACAACTAAAATGTATATTTAATGATCAATTTGATGAAATTCACATCTATTGAAAAAAACAAAAAAAATGAGAACTTTTTCAATTTCTTTCCTGCTTGAGAATCTGCCACCCACATTGTATAGGAATCAAAGTTCAAATAAACAGAAAAAAAAAATGTGTGTTTGATGAAGCAGGAAGGAAAATAAAGTGAAAGTATTACTGAATTGATATGTCTATCAAGCAGAGAAAATATTTGATGAGTTTTGTTGCTCAATATTTCAGACAGCCAGCCTAGCTTTGTTTATGTTGACTGTAGATTAGTTTGGCTCTCAAGAACTTTCAGTAAAGAGGCATAAAAGATCACGTTTACTACCCCAAGGCAAGTAGATGCACACACACATATATACACACACAGCTTGAATATTGATAAGATTCAGAGGCAGGGACCCACAAGTGAAAGATAGCAGACACAAGAGGATAAACAGAGAAAAAAATTCCAAGAATCTAAGTGGCTGAAGTTCTTCTCTTCTGGGAGTTGAGAAGCCAAATGACATTGGAGGAAAAAGTATGAAACATTTTAGAGAATGAGTTTACAAAGTCTGGAAAAATAAAATTATTAGTGAAGATTTTTTATTCTCTTAGTTTGCTAATTTCTGAAAAGAGAAAATGTGGTTGTGTTTTGAAGCTTTGTCGTAGAAGTTTGAATTTAAAGATTGGATTAATGATCAAAGAGAGTCAGTGGGTTGAAGGAGAAGTGGAATATGGGAAAATAAATCAGGTAGGAGGAGAGAGTGATAGGAGGAGGAGGGAAGTAGCAAAAGGAAAAATTCAGTTGACAAGTAGAGAGAGGGAGTGAAAAATAACATGGCAATGAGACTACAATTTAGAAAAACAGAAACAAGGATAGCAGATATGAAGTAGGAGGAAGAGAAAGGAGGGGTGGAGAGATAAAGAAAGCAAGAATAGCTAAAGTGAGGAACTGGAAAATAGGAAAGGAGACATGTCTGGTAGTAAAGAGACAGAAGATGTAAAATTGAAAAATAAATCATAGGGAAAAAAGAGTAGGGGAGAAGAAGAAGAAAAGGAGTGGGAGAGAAGAAGAATTGAAAGGAGTGGGAGAGAAAAAGAGAGAATCGAGTAGGGCAAAAGAAAGAAAAAGAAAAAGAAGGGGAGGAAAGAAAGAAAGAAAGAAAGAAAGGAGTGGGAGGAAAGAAAGAAAGAAAGAAAGAAAAAGGAATTGGGGAGGAAAGAAAGAAAGAAAGAAAGAAAGAAAGGGGGAAAAGAAAGAAAGGAAATAAAAAGAAAGAAAGAAAGAAAAGAAAGAAAGAAAAAAAGAAAGAAAGAAAGAAAGAAAGAAAGAAAGAAAGAAAAGAAATTTTTGGGAGGGGAGGAAAGAAAGAAAGGAGGGGGAAGGAAAGAAAAAGGAGTGGGAGGAAAGAAAGAAAGAAAGGAGTGGGAGGAAAGAAAGAAAGGAGTGGGAGGAAAGAAGGAAAGAAAGAAAGAAGTGGGAGAGAAGAAGAAGAAAAAAAGGAAGGAAAGAAGAAAGAAAGAAAGGAGAGAAGAAGAAAGAAAAGAGCAGGAGAGAAGAATAAGAAAAGGAGAAACAGGAAATCAAAGTAAGCAAATGAAAAAAGAATCAAATGAAGGAAGAGAGAACAGAAAAGAAAGTGAAAGATTAGGAACAATTGAAGTAAGAAAAAGGAAAAAAAGATTAAGCTGATGAAGACCGATGAGGAATGAAGAAAAGGCTCAAGTCTTAGAAAGAAAGGGCAGATGAAAATGAATGAATAAAAGGAATATCAGGAAAAAGTAAATTTCAGCAAAGAAAGGGCTAAGAAAAGAGATAAGAAAAAAGTGGGCGACAATGGATGTGTAGAAGGGAAGGAAATAAAGAAAAAGAGAAATTGAAATATATAAAGTAAAGATGGGGGAGGTGAATGAAAAAGAAAGTTGGAGAGGAGGAAAAGGATGTAATAGTGAAAAGGAGGAGAGGAAAAATAGTGGAAAGAAAAGGAAGGGAATAAGGAAAAGTGGGGAATAAAGAAAGATGAGAAGTCAGAGGGAGGGGAGTTATAAAGAACGTGATCAATGCTTAGCTAGCATGCACCAGAAGGGAAACCCTAAAAATCTGCTTTGGTGTTGATGACAAGATGACTTCAAAGAGGCACAGCAAACTCGATGGTCAAATACTTTCCATTTTAGTGAAATTCTCAAGTGACCACAGAGGCTGGCCGGACAACGAAGAGGTTTGGTTTACACCATCAAGTAGAGGCATGCTGCACGGAAAATGTCATACTCCAAATGTCATTCAACGAAGCAATTGAAACCCTCTCCATCTCCTACCCCTGCCTGAGTATGGCCTGCATGGACTATTCCAGAAATAGCTTCATTAGAACTCATATTCACGTAGGCTACACAGGAGTGAAACAAAGAAAGGGATCGTTCATCTAAGTAATCCAGGAGTCTGCAAGCTTAATTGGTAGATCCATTACCACCAGGCGGATGGCACATTGCAGATGGGTGGAGTCTGGGGTGGACAAGCATAAGACTACATCATTTGTCTCTCAAGTAGGTTTGCTGTTCATGCTTTACTGTCCTTTATGATAGATTTTCTTCTTTCCTGTCACCCTGAAATTTCCAAAGAGAGACACAGAATGTTTACAAGACTTTCTGAATAGAAAGAATATCCAAATCTAACTTATTGCTATGTAAATGTAATTTAGGTCAATTTGTTTTTAACTCCATAAATTCATTCACTGGGGATTGGCAAAGCTGGATACTTGTTAGGAGAGGAGAACATCAAAAATTTTAGAAAAAAGATAATGTAATTTTTTTATTTTATTTTTAATCAAGCAATGAAATTTTAATTTGTGATTCTTCTTCTATGTACCTTGTCCCTTCAGGACAATCATGGCTCTCCACAAAACATGTCCTCTGTAGGCCTTAGTAAAGACTGTCTTTTGGCTACATCTCCTAATCTCTGTTCTACCAACCATTAACATGAGCTCATTAGGTAGGTTATGCTCTATATTCCTTAGTCCCTCTTGCCTTCAATGTCCCATGAGTGTCAAATTTTCAAAGTCCTCTCTCCTCATTATGTGCCCTAGAAATTTCAAATATCTCTTTCTGATGCTATATATAAGTGTCCATTTTCTCTAAAACTTTGTCATTACTCACATGCTCAGTCCATGGTATTCTAAGCATCCTTGTGAGAACTACATTTCTGTTGCCTCAAGTCTCTTCTTCATCTGTGATGAGATAGTCCAGCATTCAGTGGCATATAGGAGAACTGATATTATCTAACAGTCTAGGACTCTTTTTTTGTTTCTAATGAAATTTTCCTGTTCCTTAATGCTTTGGGAATACATTATATACAGACATATAATTAAAAAAAAAAAAAAAGAAGAATTCCAGAATTCCCATGGATTTTTATTTTAATTACAACATTTATAAGCTTTTCCATATTTTAACGAAAGATTTCCAGTAATTAGAACTCAATCAAACAATTGGAAAAATATTCAGTGAAAATCCACTTCATGCTGGGTGTCAGCCTCCCAATATACACACACTCTTAACATCATCTGGTATACATCATTCACCACCTCACCAAGGGAATATGACCTGCAATAAACCTATATGCCAAGTCTGTAGACATATCATCACTGATAGCAACTTTACACCCAACACTGGCTCTGAATTGAGACAGTTCAAATCTTATATATTTGTTTTATGCAATAAATGCAGAAAAGGAAATTATGTTAGAGAAACTGGAACAAAATTCCATCTTCGGATCAATAAACATAAAAAAAAAAAAACCACACCAGGGACAATAACAACAATTTCCCAGTCACTGCACACTTTAACCAACCATTTCATAGTGTCAATGACATCAGATGCATGCTTTTAGTGTCTTCATTCAGCAGCTGAGAAGAAAGACGAAGATCAGAGTTGAAATTTATTTTGAAAATAAATTCAAACATTGAGGGAATGAACAGGGATTTGGGTTTTTACTCAGAGATGATAATTTCCACACCATTTCTTAGAAGAGTAAATCCCACTTCTTTGTTTATTCCTCAATATCATTGAAAATGAACACAGGCATGTTCAAAAATTCTGACATTAAAATCTATTTCTTTGTGCTTCAATTCAGTCAAAAGGTTAATATATAATAAATATCATTTTTAGTGACAATATTGGTATCACTTTGTTGGCTTTTTATTCTTAAAATTTTGTTAATTGGCTCATTAAACTACATTATATATATAGATAGATAGATAGATAGACAGACAGATACACACACACAAAAGAGTTGTGAGTTCAATACCAGGCCACAGCAGTGGTGAACCAAAAACATGGAGAGTTGAATTAAAGGGAAATAACTGCAACATCTTGAAGAGGCATGGCATGTGAAACTAGAACAATCTACCCTGGTGGACAAAATAAAGGGCTTGGTTTAAAATTCCAGTCATCTGAAGAATGCCAAAGCATACAACAGCTGAAATGTTGTGAATATGGATAAGATGATGAGAATAACAGTCCAAATAATGTAAATAATGCAAGTAATATATATATGAAGCATTTTCCTTAAGATTATTTTATTATTATTATTATTATTAATTATCTATGAATTGTCATGCCTTCTTGAGAAAGATAGTGGAGTGGATTGTCCATTGCTTTCTCTGCAGTTTAGAATTCAGAGTTTTCCTTCTCTTTGACTTGTTATCATCCAAGGCTAGAGAGAAAAGTCTACCCTGATATTTAAACCATAGTTAAAGGGGGTGAATAAAAAAGGATTCATGACTTTTCTAAATGGATTTGTGCAAAAGTGAATGCAAAAGACCAGGCTGGAATTTGAACGTGGCTTGCTCACTCCCACTTTTCATGCTGATAGCCACAATGATACCTGAACAACATTTGAATTAATATTCAACCCCTTCACCTAATACTAATTGAGGCTTTTTAGAGCCAATCGCTGCTAACAGATGTTTTCTATAAACTTCTGCATCTCTCAATAGGTATTTTTTTCCATTTTTCTATGCAAAACTTTCAATTCATGACCCAATTTGTTTACTGGATCCAGCTATTGAAAATGATCATTCCGTTACTCTAAATGTATTACTTCTTAAACCATTCTCAAGTGGTTCTCAAAGTATCTTTCAGGTATTATGTCTTAGAGATGGTAAAAAGATTTTTTGGAAGAATAGACTGATATTTCAGCAAATCTATTTGATACTTACATTTAGTCAATTTCCCCAGTATCTACAATGCCAAACCAATCCCATAAAATAATGTGTCCAACACCATGTTTCATTGTTGGAATAGTATTTTTATATCAGTTGCTGTATTATTGTCTTTTTTCTAACATTGTTGGTTATGTTCTGAATGTTCAATGGACATGGGATGGTTGAGGGAAAAGCAAACAATATCAGTGTCTGATGGATGAAAGGAGAAAGCAAATCACATGAACTTCTGATGGAGGTAGGGAGAAGGCAAATCATATGAGTGTCTGATGGAAGAAAGAAGGCAAATCATATGTCTGATGGAGGGAGGGAGAAGGCAAATCACATGAGTGTCTGATGGAGGAAGGGAGAAGGCAAATCATATGTGCCTGATGGAGGAAGGGAGAAAGCAAATTATATGAGTGTCTGATGGAAGAAAGAAGGCAAATTATATGAGTGTCTGATGGAAGAAAGAAGGCAAATCATATGTCTGATGGAGGTAGGGAGAAGGCAAATCACATGAGTGTCTGATGGAGGAAGGGAGAAGGCAAATCATATGTGCCTGATGGAGGAAGGGAGAAAGCAAATTATATGAGTGTTGGAGGGAGGAGGATAGAAAACAATTGACCATTGACTTGAAGTGGTTAAGACTGTAGCATTCTGGGAAACATCCACATGTATGTCTATTCCAAAGTAACAATTTTTATGAAAAAGTTAAGGGAAACTTCTTCCTTACAGTTGAAATATGGTGGAAATGAGGGTGATTTGACTCTGTGGTTGTTGCGTGGCATGTTCTAACTGTAAAGGTCTGAATTAGTGAAACTAAAGCATGGAGCTTATCTAAACATATGCAGCATAAATAAAAACATTTGCTCTGTAAATACCCATAGAGTAGTGATGGGCTTCCAAATGTTGCAGCTGTTGGAAAAAGACTGCAGAGTGGAGAGTAAGACTTCCCCCATGAGAGTGCAAAAATGATTTTGAAATCTACAAGACTAGAAAATGAAGATTGAGCAGCTCCAACATAGATATTGCAGAATATATATCAGAAGTATGTTTGAAAAGATTGAGTGGATTGACTGTGGAATGAGAACAGTTTTAGCCCTGTAGATTTCATAAAGTGTTTAACTCAAAATTCTAAGAAAGTTACTGAAGCAACCAGAAAGTACAGTACCCAAAACATCTGATAATATAATAATAACATCAATATAATAAATAACAATCAAAATGAGAAAAAGTTCAAATATATTAATGTATTTTTTATTTATGCTGCTTTTGTCTTTTTTTAAATTGCAGATGTAAAATTTTTTACGACTGCTCACAATAGGGAGTAAAGTACATAAATTTAGATAAAAAACTCAGTGCAATTTATTGATTACTGATGAATATAAGATAAATAAAGCTAAAATGCTAAAGAATTAAATTAAAGTAAAAAAAAAAAGAAATTACAAAAAACAAATTATATTTAAAAGCAACAGAAAATGTGAAAGATTCAGGTTACAATGGAAAAATCAAGAATCCAGGATCTGCCCATCCTTTGAAAAGATATTTGTATACAGTGTATGAATAGAAATCTGTATGGATCAGCAGGTGGAGGATTTTGTCAGCAAGGAGTCATGGCTTTAAAAGAAAGTCAAACCAGAGAAATTGATATGAGGCCATTAGATGTGAAATTACCGCTCAAACCCCTGTTACCGTTGCATCTTCTGCTTGCTATATACAAAAGTTTTAGTTCTTTGACTAAAAACACACACAAAAAAGAACAAGTAAATCTTTTGATGGACTCAGAGAGGAAAAAATGTTTAAAAGTAAATGTTTCCTTTTTTTTAAATGTTTCTGAAAGTTTTTGAAAGGAGTTTCTGTTTATGCTGTATAGTTTAAGGATTACTACCGGCTTCTTTGAAATTTTTTATTTGGTGACCACAATAAAAGAAAAGTTGTGTATATGTACTAACACACACATACACACAGATATAAAACATTTTTTGTCATATATTAGTGGGCATAATACAAAATGCTAACCTTCAGGACAATGACTCACTTCCCCTTCTTGGATTAACATTTTTCATTGACATCAAGTGGAAAGATTATATCAAATTAATTGCTAGGTCTGCAGCTAGGAAGGTCGGTTTGATAATTTTTCTTGCTAGAATTTATCTTACATATTTATAAGTCTTGATTCATCCTTGCTTTGAATATTGCTGCCACATCTGATCTGGTGTTCCTGCTATATATTTAGAGATACTTGTTAATATCCAAAGAAGAATCTGCAATATTATTTCAGTCACTTTCCCACAACCAAAATGTAGCTTTTCCTGTGCTTTTTCTATAAATACCTTAATGGTAATTGTTCTGATGAACTTTCCTCTATGGTACCTAGACTTTATGAATTTAAGAAAAATACTAGATTGGGAGGTAAGGTTTCATCATTTTACAGTTGAAATGGCTAGATATAACGGTATGTTCTAAGCTAACCATTTCTTCTATTGCATTTTTTGTTTGTGGAACTCTCTTCTGGCTTTCCAGTCAACTTTGATCTTCAAAAATTTAAATGCAATGTCAATCGTTATCTTCTGCCTTCTTAATTCTTGTTCTTTTATTGTTCTCTCTTCTTAATAGTGTTTTTTTTCTCACATTCTCTAACTCAGTAACCACTTGTATCTTAGTAGCTTTATTGCCTTGCTTGGGGTGAAATGATATTTTAGCAACATGGATTCAAAAGAATGTTTGAAAGATAATTACTTTAAATATTTGTCAAAACAATGGCATCCATTGTCTTCTTCTATATGCTGGGTCTCTTCAGGACATGGGTGATTATGGTTCTCCCCAACTTTCTATATTTCTTTGTAGCTCTATCTTTGACTCTTTACTATCCCTCCCACATACTGTTCTACCAGCCATTTATTTACACAAGCTTGTCAGGTAGGTCACATACTGTTTCCCCTCTACCCCACTTGTCTTAATAATATGTCCTTTCTGATTCTAAGTAAAAATGTCCTTTTTGTTTCTATTTCCCTTTAAAATTCCTCATTGTTCTATCTATGGTATTCTCAGCATCATTCTGTAGAACCAGATATGATAGGAATTATCAGTGCCATATTGGAGGACTGATATTAAATAACAGCTCATCACTCTTTTCTTTGCTTCTAATGAAATGTTCCCATTTCTTAATACTTTGTTCAATTTTTGTAAGGCATCTTTCACTATTTCAATGTACGTTCAGATTTCAGCATCACATTTTTTACTATCTTTGAAAACATTTCCCAGATATTTAAGGTAGTGCCTCTTATTCTGTAACCTTCCACCTTGAGTGGCTCTTGGGCCTTGTACAGAGTGAACATCATTGTAAAAGCAAATAATTTCATGCCATGTCTCCAATGAATGACAAAAACCACAGCCCATTGAAATCCAAATGAGTGAAACTTTTACATCTAGCCAATGTCAAGTCATTTTCTGGATCAAATCAACCAGTTCAATCCTTGGCCTCAACAGAGAAAACCAAATCTTGGAGAGCTGAGTTATCAAGGAGAATTAACTAAAACTGAGATATTCAAAGTCATGGCATGTGGAATTAGAACAATATACTCCTGTGGGCTAAATAAAGGGTTTGGCTTAAAATCCAACAAATATCACCTGAAGAAAGCAGGAGTGTCTAACAGTTGAAATATTGTGAATGTGGCAATAAAGATGAGGACAACAATATGAATAGTGTAAATAGTTTTCTTATCTATGTATTGACTTTGTGTTTTATGTATTTTTATTCAAAATGAAAAAAAAATTATTAAAGCTTCTCCCACTTTAGGGGTAAAGGAGTAATAAAACACAAAATACCAAAATTGTTTGTCTTTCTTTTGTTTTTACCCCTTTTTCTTTTCTTTCACTAGCTTTTCTTTACATTTTTCTTTAACTTTCTGTCTTACCTTTTACATTTCCTCATTAACATCTTTCTTTTTGCTAATTCTGTTGTCAAGTCAAAATGAACATAAAGGCAGTTGATATATATATATATATATATGTGCAACAAAGTGTGCAGGTCAGTGAGCGGACTTATCCAGCATTACAGGTCACAGCACCATAATACCAATGCAGTAAGGAATAAGCTTGCTTGCAAAACCTGTGGCTTAAAATGTAGTTTACTTGTTTGACTAATGATTCACTAGAGACATCATCAACAGCAAAGGAATCAACAGTAATGTCATGGGAGTAGTCGTATTCAGACATGTGATGACTTTCCACCAAATGTATAAAGAGAAAGAGAGAGAATAAAGTGTTTGTGTGTGCACATGTAAAACAGTTATCACACAGTGCACAGATGCTACACTGATCTTAGGTAGAATTACCAAGAAGTGATCACTTTGATTCAAGGCAGAAATAAGTAATTCTATCATGGATACTATGCTTTTAAAATAATTAAGTAATATTGCATAAAATAGCATGATAATAATAAGTATATTAAAAAAAATAAAATTATTATTCATTATAAAAATAAAATGGCTGTTATCTTTTTGTATGGGCGTGTGTGTATGTCAACTTCATTTGAGGAAATGTAAGATCAACCCCATCCATAAAAGCAAATAAAATGAATTTTGCCTAATTATAATTAAACCCATTACAATATATGATAGTGAGTATGTTAGTAAATATGTGTGTATATATATATATATATATATATATATACACACACACACATATACACTTACTATATACATATGGGTATGTGACTGAGTGGTTAAAATGTTAGCTTTCCAACTATAAGACTCGGGTTAGAATTTCATGTTTGATGAGGAAGGCAACATTTTGAGGTTATCAGCTGGTGTGTGTGTGTGTGTGTGTGTGTGTGTGTGGGGTGATCCCAGTTTGCGCCTCCTGAAAACCATACCATGGCTTGACCAATGCCTTGTGAACTAAAATGGGTAGACAGAATTGTTTTGCTTGCACAATGTCAGAAGTCATCGTGCCCAAATGTTTCAGCATACTGGTCTTGTTAAAAGTGTAGATCATGCCAGATGCTGCACTCTCTTTCATAAATTGTAACTAAGGGCATCTATACATAGTTGCAGTATAAAACTGTGGGCGTTGAACAAACACAAATGTGCCTGGGCAGGAGTCTGCAACAGGGATTGTCTGCAGCTATTTTATATATCAAATATGTATATACAGACGGAATGTGTTAATTACTGAAATTAAATTTAGCCTCTGCTACAAGGTGATCTTATTGAAAATAGATCCCTTTAATAATTGGAACAGAGTTGTCTCCACTTATGCATTATTTTGTCTGAGTCTAACGAAATGGCAATAATAGGCAAAGGCATAAACAAAACAACAAAAACATAAGAAGAGAGGAAAATATTATAAAGTTAAAAAATAATTTTGAAAATATAGATGAAGTTAGATGAAAAAGATTAAAAAATGAAGGAATAAAATACAATCAAAGGGAAAGAGGAAGAAGATAGTGAAAGAGAAAGAAAAAAATGACAGAAAAGTATGGAGAAGGATATGAATGATGAAGGGGTGAAGATGAGGGAGGAGGAAGAATAATGGCATAGAGGCTAGAGGAGGAGGAACATCTAGCAGAAGAGAGGGTGGAGAAAGAGGATAGAGGGAAAGGAGGGGCTGATAAAGGTGGATAGAGGGGAGGAGCTAATAGAAAAAAGGTAAATGAAGAAATGATGATAGAGAAGAGAATAAAGAAAAGAAGAAGGGATTAACAGAAGAAGAAAGAGGAGGAGAGACTAATAGAGATGAGAATAGAAATGGGTTAATGGAAGAGGAGGGGCTGATATAGAAGAGGGCAGAGGAGGGGCTGATATAGAAGAGGGCAGAGGAGGGGTTGATAGAAAAGAAGGTGATGAGAAGCTGACAGAGAAAGAGGTGAAGGAGTAGGTTTAACTGGGGAGGAAGAATTGATAGATGGGGGAGTAGGAGGAACTGATAGAGAGAAGAAGACGGAAAGGGAAGAAGAGCTGATAGAGATAAGAGGAGTAACTGAGAGAGAAGAAGACAGGGGGAGGAAGAGGATCTGAAAGAGAGAGAAGACAGTAGTAGGAGGAGGATCTGAGGAAGAGAGAGAAGAAGAGGGTGGGAGGAGGAGGATCTGAGAGAGAGAGAAGAAAACGGTGGGAGGAGGTGGAGGTTCTCAGAGCGAGAAGAAGACAGTGGGAGGAGGAGAAACTGAGAAAAAAGATGACAATGGGAGGAAGCAGACCTGAGAGAAAGAAGATGATGGTGGGAAGAGGAGGATTGGAGAGAGAGAGAGAAGAAGATGGTGAGAGGAGAAGGAGGATCTGAAAGAGAGAAGAAGATGGTGGGAGGAGGATCTGAGCGAGAGAGAGAAGAAAACAGTGGGAAGAGGAGGATGGTCTGAGAGAAAGAGAGAAGAAAACAGTGGGAGGAGCAGGATCTGAGAGAGAATGGTGGGAGGAGGATATGAGAGAGAGAGAATGGTAGGAGGAGAATCTGAGAGAGAGAATGGTGGGAGGAGGAGGAGAATCTGAGAGAGAGAAGAAAACAGTGGGGGAGGAGAAGGATCTGAAGGAGAAAAGAAGGCAGTGGAAGGAGGAGCAACTGAGAAAGAAGACGACGGTGGGAGGAGGAGGAACAGAGAGAGAAGAGCACAGAGGGAGGAGATAACAGTAAAGTGAATGAAGATAGAATTGCAAATGTCAATGATGAAGAAAATAATGAAGCTGATTTGAAGCATGATGTACACAAGTCTTCTTAAATGAATGAAAATTTATAGACACTGCCATCCATAATGCAAACATTTTATTATAAATCCTATCATTTAGTTGTAGCAACAAATATGCAGACTACCAAGAGAAATTAATTTTTTCATGTAGACTTACAGGATCATGGGAATGAGGCAGAAATTGAAGAGCAAAAAGAAAAAAAAAAAAGAAAAAAAGGATAAGGTAGAAGAAGAAAGGATGAAAAAATAAAAAAAGCAGTAGTAACAGTAGAATATTGAGTGAAGAGGGGGAGAAGGAGTAAAGAGGGGTAGGAAGAGGAAAAGAAGAGAAAACAATAGAAAACATGAGGGGGTAGTAGTAAAAGTAAAAGAGGAATAGTAAGATGGGTAGGAAGAGGAAAAGTAGGAGTAAAAAGGGGTAGGAAGAGAAAAAGAAGAGAAAGTGATAGAAAATAGGTGACAGCAGTAAAAGTAGAAAAGGGAAAAACAGGAGTAAAGAGTAGTAGGGAGAGAAAAAGAAGAGAAAATGATAGAAAACATAGGAGGCAGTAGTAAAAATAGAAAATGAAGTGAAAGGGGGAAAGTTGGAGTAAAGAAGGATAGGAAGAGGAAAAGAAGAGAAAGTGAGTGTAAACAGGTAGCAGCAGTAAAAGTAGAGAAGGAGGAAGTAGGAGTAAAGAGAGGTAGGAAGAGGGAAAATGAAAAAGAAGAAATTAAAGGTTACAAATAAAATCATCTGATCTAAAGCAAAATTTAAATTAAAAAAAAAATAGATAATAATTTTTTTTCCAATTACTGCTGATCCTGAAAATTGAAGAATGCTGATCTTTCTACTTATGTAGCAGTGGAAACACCTGCATCCCAGCAGATTCATGAAGAGGCCAAACATGGACAAACCAAAAATGCACACATACTTCAGCACAAGCCCAGTTTTGAACAGGATACAACTGCAGACAAGATTTACAAGCAAAAAAACAACAAACATTGGTTTCAAGATTAGCACCCTTTTTGGTAGCATCACTGTATTCAAAGATTTCTCTTAAACAATAACTGAAGGATCTCTCTCAGAGCTGCATCAGTTTCATCAACAAACAAAAAAAGGAGTCAATGCTATAGGAAATCAATCCCTACAAACTTTGTCAAATTAGTGTAAGTACTTATATGTTCAATAATAAGTACCATTCCATAAAGAATTATTCTATGTGCAGTATCCTGTCAGGATGTTGGCAATCATGGCTCTTTACAACTTCTTATCCTTTGTAACTCTCAATAAATTTTATCTTTTCACCATCTTTCCCAAACCCTGCTCTATCATCCATTCACTCAAGCTAGGTAGGTTATACATTGTTTTCACTGAATTCCTGGAATATGAGACATTGTGATTATTTAATATATACCTTTAGGAGAAAATTTCCTATATATCCAATACAAGCTTAACTCTTATAAATAGAACCAAATAGGTTGCTGACCATTTAAATGCCTTTATATTTTCTATATTTTCTAGAGATGATAGTTTGTTCCAACAAAATAATGCAACCCATTCTCATTATGCATGGGTGACATAAAACTAATTCAGGGAACACTCACCTGACTTCTAGCTACTCCAATGGCTACTGTACTCACCAGATTTAAACCCCATTGAGCATATATATAAGATCTGTTGCCAACTTCCTCACACTAAATTTACTCATTTATGGACAGCCCAGGAAAGTACCTGAATAGATATAGCCCTACAATGACTTCAGTACCTCATACTCTTGTGTAGCCACTGTTGTTTAGACAAAAGGAGGAATTATACATCATTACATAGTGGTGTCTAATTTTGGGGGGGACTTCAAAATATATATATATATATATATATATAAAGATTTAATCTGAAACATGTAACCTTAAAAATCTATTGAAAAAAATAACAATTACATGTTTAATTTATACTTTAGAAAAAAATTTAAGGAATATTCAATGCAAGTTTACTTTGTACTTACCAGATTTAAACCCCAATGAGCATATATCAGACATGTTGTAGACCTCCTCACTAAATTCCCTGCAGCCACACTCAACAAATATAACTCATTTATGACCAGCTTGTGAATATACCTGAACAGATATAGCTGTACAATGACTTCAGCACCTGATATACACTGTTCCACATTGCATAGTTGCCATTATTCAGGGAAAAGCTTTGCTATTATTAGCTAGCAAAAAACAAGGGAAAAAACTCTTAAAATAATAGAGGAGATCATAAAGAAAGGACTAATCATTATTTATAAGACCATGCATAGTTGTAAGTAAAAGAAAAAACCCAAAGATGTGAACAATATAATTGGGGACCTCAAATAGAAGCTGATGTAGAAATTGATGTAACTGAGTAGTGCAGTAACAGACAATGAAAAGTGTAACATAGAAATCCAAAGGCACATAAGAATAGCAAAATATGCCTTTCAGAAAATAAGAAAAGTATTAGGAGATAAGAAAATATCCTTAGAAAAAAAAAAAAAAGAAAAGTATGCTAGATTACTATATAATATAGAATGTCCTATATGGCAGTAAATGCTGGATAATCTCCTGACAGATGAAGAAGAGACTTGAAGCAACAGAGATATGGTTCTACTGATGAGTGAAAAAAAATACCATGGACAGAACATGTGAATAACAAGAGAATATGAACTACAAGGAATCTGTTGCTAAGAATTAAAATGAGATAGCTGAAAATTTGGGCATGTAATAAGGAAAGAAGGCTTGGAGAATTTAACATTCATAAGACATACTGAAACAACCTATAGAACAAGGACAAAAATGGATGGTAAAAGAGGCAAGAGTTACTTAGAGCAACAAAATACAAGTAGTTGAGGGCCATGATCACCTACTTCCTGAAAGAAATCTTTGAGAAAAAATAAAAGCATTGAATCCTCAAAAAGTATGTGCTAAACATTACAGAAGAATATGAGACAATTTGGAAAGTAATGTCATATTTTTAGAGAAAAATAAAACCATGTCCAAATCTATCAAAAACAATAATTATTAACAATAATAAAGTCTCAATATGCAATGGATTTATTCTTGTTGAAAGAATCTATAGTTATTGAAGAGAAACCTATTTCAGAATCTAAACCAGTAGTTTTCTAATTTACTGTGACCTCATCACCCTATGCTGAAGGTATATTATACCCTGATTGAATGTTAATGGGATGTTTTCAAGATATAAGTGATAGGGGGAAGATCTTATATATCATCAAATATTCTATCCCTTTTAGAAAATTTTTTTATCCCTGGTTGAAAACAGACTGAATTTTATTCATCAATAGTTGCTGTTTATTTTGATGCGCTCAAGTATACTTGATTTTGTTCACTAAAAATGTTACATCTCTTTAAATTCAATAAAAGATTACTTAAAAAAAAGAAATATACTTCATTTTACAAGCAGACTCAGTGTGTGTACTTCTTTTATGTAAACCTTCACTTATAAACATACTGCTACCACCACCACGACTTATACCGCAACCACTATTACTAGCACAACCGCCACTGCTACCACCATCACTACTTATACCACAACTACTGCTATAACTGTTAACACCACCAATTCTACCACAACCACTGATATTATGATTAACACCACCACCAGTGCTACCACCATCACCATTGCTATTACTACTAATACTGCCACCAATACTACTATTATTACTAAACATTATATTTTCTCAAAAAGAAACTATATGCAAATGTACAAGAGAGAACATGATCCTATTTTAACAAACAATAATTTATAACAAACTCAATTAAGCCATATTATCTTATTGCGAAAATAATAAAACTCAACCTTCATAATGATAAGAGAAACAAATGTTAATATAAGTATAAACACTAATAACAACAAAAGAAAGAAATACTGTTTTCACATGCTATTCATATCTACCTAAAACTACTTATTAAATAATATATATCTAAATCTAAATGGCACAGCCATGCATCTCTGAGGATGCCCATCTACTAGTGTGGCTAGTTAATCCTTGTTGCAGATGCCTGCTCAGGCCCATTTGTGTTTGTTCAACACTCACAGAGCCCACCAATGGTTTATATGGCAACTATACTGAGTGGACCTTAGTTACAGTTTCTAGGAGAGTGCAAGTTATCTAGCATGATCAGCAGTCTGAACAAGGTCAGCACATTCAAACTCTCTGTCACGATGACTTGTGACTTCATGCTAGCACAACCATCACTAGCTCTCAAGGGTTCTGTCTATCCAATTTCACTCACAAGGCTCGGGTCAACCTGTGTTTTCATTTTCAGGCACTTTCCAAAGGTACCGCATACTGGGATCACCTTCCCCAGACATTAAGAAGTCTCCTTCCTGACAAATCGACCAAGGTGAGATTCGAACATAGGCCTCATGGTCAGAAAGTGAACATTCTAACCAGTTGGCCTTGTGCCCATAACAGAAATCAAATATGTCACTCAAAATAAATAACTATATTTATACAAAAGAATCCAGCCCTGCTATTTAACCCATAACTGGGGGGAGATGGATTCATGCCTTTTCTAAGGGCATTACATGAAAGGAATCAAATGGAATCAACCAGAATTTTAAGAATTTAGTTCTGCAATTATAGTTTCCTTGATACACACACATGCACACACACACATGTGGTTGGCACCATTTACAATAAAAATATATTGACTTAGCCTGATGACCCCTGTTTACAGGGTGAAACTGAAGTAACTGAGATATGTATGTATGTATAAAGCATACATATAGATAAATATGCATCCTCTTACAGGAATCGAACCTGTATCCTATACGGAACTGTCATATAGCCTGACATGCTTTACCAATTGAGTGACAGAAGACTTTCATTTAGCAAAGGTCCATTTTAATGTTTTTAAACTACAATTGCTATATATATATATATATATATATATATATATATATATATATATATATATATATATATATGTATATATAAACAATACATCACAGGATGGTGAAAAGTTCTCAGCGTGAACAAGAAGGGGTTAACTAGTGCTATGAAATGTACATGCTATACCACATATTCATTCCACAGGTCAATACACTTGACACATTGTTTCTCAAGTTTCTAACACCTTCCCACTCTTCAAATTATGTTTGATCACTGGAATATTGATCTCAAGAAGTGGTCAAAATTGAGAAGTTTTCAGCACTTCCTTATGTGTGTATGTATAAATAGATACTGCACATAAACAAGTATTTCAAGTATATGTTAGTGCTTTTATAGATTTTAAAATTACAACCCATGCTATATATATATATATATATATATATATAAAATAGTTTTTCAGTTTGGCATGTATTAAAGAATTCTGCATGCATTTAGCAAAAAGAAACAGCAAAGAAAATGAAAATATGAAACTTTACCTAATCAAGCTTAACAATTGAGTGAATTTCTGTGTTTCTATATGTTAGCCGTATTGATGTAAAGTGTACATTACTTTTTCCTATAAATTTTTGAAATGAAAATTATTTGTATTTTTCATCTTCCCATATTCTACATTCTCTTTAATGTTTGAGATGCACTGAAATCTGCGTACTTAAGGCATCTTTGTAGTTGTCATAGAAACCGATTTCATGGAATACACTACATGAAAGTAGAAACTGCAATGACAAAATTTCCTAAAAAGACAGTATTTAAAAATGTTAAAAAGGAAAAAAAAAAGGCTGTTCCTTTCTATTTTCTGTTACCTTTCTGATAAAACAAA